TTAATTATTTTTCCTCGTGTCACATTTTCGTTTTTAGCTTTTCCCTTCTACTTACGCTTAACACCTAAAACTTTACCACCTACCTAGAGCCTAAATTATTTTTGACCGGTCAGTGGTCACCCTTTTTTTTAAGTACCGAATCGCAGATATGGTCTCGATTTTAATGATAAACGAATAACATTGGTAGATATTATAATAATTGAACACCATTCATTATACTTACAAATTTGTAGCAATTTCGAGATTGATATAGTTCTGATGATTACGTGACTAATCGTACTAATTAGTCGCATAATAATTCCTATAGAACTATAGAAGTGTGTTCGCCCCGATTACTCTGTTCTGGATTTTTTATCCTTTACAAGTGTAAATAATACACATATATTATGTACGATAACGATGTAGACTACAACTAAGGGTAGGTACCAGTATTTGTAGTGCGTACCTAAGTATAAGACAATATGTCTACAATATTAAAACACCATAATATTTAACATAATATTTAACATAATATTTGCTCCGCAACTGAAATATGTGATAGTTAATATTTGCTGTATATTAACCATTTTATATAAATTTACGATTGAATTGTTTTATAAAGCAATACTTTACATAATGGCCATTTAAAGATCAAAATGAGTTTTACAATTTATTTGAACATATTTTATTAAACTTCGATTTAAATAAACCAGTTTGTCAATTTAAGTACTTGTAAAGAAAAAAAACGTGACAACAATTTTCTTGTATAGAGGTAGGGTTATATATGAAGCGTCTAGTTTCAAAACCAGCTAAAAGACATTTTGAAAACCTGTTTTTGTTTAAGTAGCTTTATTATATTATATGGCATGTAAAACTATTATTGAATATCAAATAAAGATTATAGCTAACTCAGACTATTTTGGGAAAATTTTAGTTGGTTTCAAACCCGTTTATCTGAAGAAATTATTTGTTGTTTGTGAAAATTTTCATAAGTTGCTTTTAGCTGGTTTTGAAACTAGATGCCTCATGCATCTTGAAGTTTTAAGTAACTAAGTAAGATAACTAATAGGATACTTTATCTTAGTTCAACCCGAATCAAAAACTCAAATTATTTCAATTATTCTAACATGTTAAATCGTACAAATGAAAAATACACATTTATAACACAAAGAATGCATGCATCGAATAAGCAACTATTTTTTGTCATTATTTAATTTTTTTTTTTTCAACAAACGCATTAACGAATGTTTAATATTATGCTAATTCTTCTTAATAATATTCAATTGTATTATTTTAGTTGGGACTGGTTTTATAACATACCGTTTTGAGTGCCCGTGGACATGATTATTGCTTATGTGTGAGTTAATAAGAGGTTAACCACTACGTCACCGCCTTATGAAAAGAAAATTATCGGGTACGGACCTTTGTATCCTTATTACCTATATTAACATTAAAAAAAAAATACATTTCTGTAAATTAATACCTACCATTTTAATATTGCATTTATGCTAGCAAAGATTTAGTTTCCTGATATAAGTTTAATTGGCTACATTTCAAATACTCAATTTTTTATTTATATACTAGTTATAAGTGATTTACAAACTACATTTAAAATAAATTGTATTAAATTGTTTGTATTATACATGGCACCTAGAAAATAGCGGAAACCCGTGTTAGTTATTTTAGAAGTGATTTACAAATAAAACCCAGATGTGTTACACAAAATCCTATAAAATCAATATATTTTAAATCATGTCGTGAAGGGTTATCAAACAATTATTTTAAATATACCCTATAGTTTTATTATATTATTTTACCTTATATTTTAATTTTAATTTTGCATGCTTGGCAAACTTTAAGAACTATAGTAATATATAAATTATATTGTTAATGTTTTAATTGGTTCGACCTCCTTGAAGGACTTTTCATTACACATTGAATAATTTTACATTAAGTAAAATTTACATTGAATTAATTTTTAATAAAAAATTTAATTTTAATTTTCTTATCGAGATTGAGACGAATATAAATAACGAATTTTATTACCCTGAAAATATAGGTAGTTTTGTAAATTTACCTTCAAAAATCTTAAACAAATCACAAGGTTAATCATGCGGGGAAAATAGTTATATTGACAATTTTTTTACAGGTATTATAAATACAAAACCATCTGATTTTAATTAAATTCTATATACTTATTGTGTGATTTAATTAATTTCAACATAAAACACTTGCAATTGCATTATATGCATACTCCGTCCAGTTGGCTGAATAAAAATACATTTTAATTAGTCGCTATTGACAACGCTCTAGTTTTATCGGTTAAATGTCCATTGGCTTATGGTAACTGACCTGTAAAGGAGTGTACCTAATTTTGTTGATGGTCATTTGAAAATATTACATTTTGCAGTACTAAAACTAGTGTAATCGGGTTACACGGGAAGTTTGTGTAACTTATTGTTCCGATAAATCATACTTCACCTGTGGAAGCATTACATTTATTAACATAGGTTACTCTTAAAAATACGTTTAACAAACATTCGTTTAAAAATTAATAGTTATGTGCCATTATAATTTATAATAGACGGTGTTATATGTATTGATTAAGGGTTACACGTTTGGTTGTGAATTACGTTTGAGTAGAAACGGTAACAACTCTGGTAAACTGTTTTTTGAACAATTCATTATTGGTTTATTGTTGTCTGGCCGAGTAAATTATAGCAATGCATAACGTGGCCGGCTATCGATCTTAGTATTATTATGTATGTTGTATTATGGCCTATCCTTATTCCTTAGAGCATATTTTTCGTGTGTAGTATATATAATAGAATTGATAAATTACTAGGATGACTCAAGCGGTTGTGTGAGTATAACACAGAGCCTTGTTTTTCGTAATCAAGTACATAGTTTGCTAAGTGCAAGACCAATTGTTTGCCTTTAATGCGGTGTGTCCGAATGGTGTTCATATAGCGTTGAAGTCTCCACCACTAGTGGTAATATGCTTCTAGATGTAACTATGCTCGCAAATCATTTATGTCTAAAACCAACTTAAAAAATCATTGCACACCTGCAAAATAAGGTCAGATTTACACAAACCAATCAATAGAGGTGTCTAAACACAAATATTTGAGTTTTAAAATTTCGAAACACACTTGGTACCTAATCATATTACATAAATATACAACCAATATAAATAAGACGTTCGACTATAGATTGAATGAACAATGGTGCTAAAAAAATTATTTGAGACAGTGTGTGTTTGGCCTTCGGGTTTTCAAACAATCGAGGTCAAGACTATGACGATTATTGATAACTGGAAACTTTGAGAGATATCATTTACAATTTACTGAGAAAAAAGATAAATGAATATTCAGTTTTCTTAGAAAAATTTGCACACTAGGCTAGTAGTGTTGATCGAAACTAATGAAAACAAATTATTTGTTCAAATTAACGCTTCTAAAAATTGTATATGCCCTTATACAATGGCAAAATTAGCTTAAAATTGTTGGGGGATTCAAGTAAATTGTCTAAGAAAAATGTGTTCATCGCTAGCACATCAAATAAACAAATTTAAGATTTAATTAAATTAAACATTTAATAAAAATGAATAAAATCAAAATTTTTGATACTATAAAAATGTAGAAGTAAAATATTTTTAAGTAACATCAGATTTATTTATAAAAAAAATATAATTAATTATTCAATAGGGATTCAACGAAGTGGTTTAATGAAAACTAATTAATCAAAAAAATGACACACGAGTTATAACCTGAAAACCAGACACCCAAATTATATCTAAAGAAGTCGGAACCCGAAATAGTGAATTATTTATTAAAAATGTATTTATTAAAAAAAAATTTGTTTTAAGCTTTGAGAATTAATGACAAATGAAAATAAAAACTAAATGTTCTTCGTTTATGTCAAGTATCGAAATACTTGCGTTGGACAACAATAAAACATTTAATTATCTGTATTTTTAAAGGTGTTGATGAATTACACATACAACGAATTTTATGCATTACTTTTTTAATCGATATAATGCTTAGAAAATGTAATCATTGGTTTCTCTGTGAGTATCGATATCGCAACATTAAACAGGAGTAGATACTATTATTTATAATACTTCAATATTCTAAATGTTTAAAAATAAATTAGTTGACCAATATCTGTATTATTAATTGTAGACGTTTGCGCCTAGGTATGTACATGTTAATTAAACATTTTCCACTATTGGTTATAATAAAAGAATAATTATTCCGCTATACCTAGGTCGAACGGAATGCGGTTTTCATAATTCGTATGCCTATTTTAATATTTAGGGGGCGATGATCTAACGTTCCGCCATGTTACCTATTTTATACACAGGTTATTGCCACCTTAATTCGGACTTTTCATAATTCATTTTTATTCCCAATAAAGACATTAATTTTTAATTGTAATTGTTTTCCGAGAAAATGAGTCTTCCGTTAAATGGTTTGCACGGTAAAATGATAATGATAAGCGGTGATCAATCATATTAACGCAATATTAATAACATCAGTAATAAAACTGACGAATCGATGTGCACGGTAAGCACGTTAAACATAAAAAAAAGCAAATCTATATTGAGCTTCTCATCAAAGCATAAGAACACTGATGTCTTCTCATCTCCGCGTCGCATTTTTGAAGTGTAAAACGCTAGTAAGTATAAGGATTAGAGCATATATTTCGTAAAATATATCTTCTAAAATAAAAATATACAACTAATTACAATTATTAATTACATCGGTTAAGTTAGGTGGGTACATTTGAATTACAATAATAGAGGACGGCGTCGGTCGTTGTACAATTATTATATTAATTGTATTTACATATTATATTACGCTTTGCAACGGCTTTGGGGGGAAATAAAAACCGGTCAGCCAATGTAACTCCCACCCGAATTTAGTTTGCTTTTTTTTTATTATTATTGTATCTATGTGTTTTCGCCGTAACTCCTTCGGTTGGCCGATGCAGGGGAAAGGGTATATAAAGCGGCGAAAATCACCGGAATACACCGTAGAATCGTGTGACAGCCGTCTAATCGCAAACCGCCAGCAGTCAACTCCTTTGCCAGTATCCAATAACTTAATATATTACCTAACTCATCATGGTCCGTCTAAGCTTATTCGCCGTGCTCGTTGCGTCCCTGGCCTTCTGCGTCGCCATGCCCGCCGAAGAGAAGTACACCAGCAAGTACGACAACTTCGACGTCGAGCAGGTGTTGAACAACCAACGGATCCTGACCAGCTACGTCAAGTGCATGATGGACGAAGGTAGTTGCACGAACGAGGGCCGAGAACTGAAAAGTGAGTATAACAAAATAAAAAAATATGAGCGAAAAATAGAAGAAAAAAACTACCTACAAATAAAAAGTTATGATGTTAAAAAAAAAAAAAAAATTACAGTCTACTTAAAGCTTAACAGCTAAAATTATAAAACATTGAACATGCTTTAGCCTGCTGGCCGCTGAATAGTGATTAATTTATTTCTGATCTATAGTCTTCTTGCGATTTATGATGACAGTATAGTATTAATTATAAGTTCTGGCCAAATAAACAATAATCTTGTTGCTTAAGTATCGCAATTTGTGCCGTTTTCGGGCTGGGGGGCCAAGGCTAAAGCATGTTCCATGCTAAAACAACATCATTGTATAACCTTCTCGGATTCGCATTTAATTTTAAGCTAAATAAAATTATACTATACATAAACCAGATACCTACTTACATATTATTATAATATTATCGTCTAAACCCCCCGAAGGAAAGGATTGAAAAAATAAAACCTCTGGGATCAGACAAAAACAATAACACCGAGACTATGGTGACGTCAATGTATAATATAATGAACTCTAATGTACCTATACGTCTTGTCGTGTGTCGGGTTGTTGTTGTTATTATTATCGATTACACGCGCGAAGATTACAATTTCACTTTCACTTCTCCCGTATGTGTGCTTACCCGAAGACCTTGTGCCCAGACTCATGATGTTGGATAATACTTTCACACACTACGTCGTGTTTATTATTATATACTCTCTGTGTATCCGTTTTTTTACCACACGTTTTAATATTTTTGTTGTTTTTGTTGTTGTTATCAAACGATAATCGTCTTCAAGGTTTCTTGTATACCTATATTGTTGGCAAATAACCAAAACAGCACTCCCCGAATTCAGTGGTTAAACGTGGGTTCAATCTCATAATCGTACAAATCGCTAATGTTTAAATTTTAACTGGACGGTAATCCGGTCGTTTACCCTGAAAATATTTAAATCGCCAAATGCCTAGCGCCGCATAATATCCACCCGCATTGGGGTCGAATAAACACAGTTGCCACAGGGAAAACTCAATATTGTTCGTCGGCGAACCTTGAAATATTGCCACATGAGAGCTCTTGAATGATACAAGTTTTAAACTGGGGTTTTCTATTTTTACAGAACACTTGCCGGACGCGCTGAAAACCAACTGCTCGAAGTGCACAGATGTACAAAAGGAAACATCGGAAAAAGTGTTGAGATTCTTACAGAAAAATCGCGCAGACGACTTCGAACGTCTTAACAAGAAGTACGACCCGACTGGCATTTACAAAAAGAATATATTGAAATTGGAAAAGGAACGCGACGAAGAACTTAAAAAGAAACAAAAGAACTGAGAACGAAATCGCTAACAACTATTCCCATAGTATACCTATAATTTTCTTCTATTGCTCTATTTTTTTTTTCGTCAGCACGCGGTTAAATAAAAATTATAATGATACATAGATTGTATAACGATAGTATAAGACAACAAAACAATTGTTGAGATATAAAAGTTTCTACTTGTCAACCGGTAAATAGGATTAGATTATATATTATTATATAAAATTATTACACTAACGTATTTGTGATCAATAAAATATATTATATACATATGTAAAACTATTTAAGTCGTTTAATTATTTCATTTTATTATTATGTATCGTATTAACCTTTAAAAATATTTTGACTTGAGTCATACCTACCGGTTACCATTACACGGACAAACCGTATTTTCCATCTCAAGCAAAAAAACGAGCAACTATTGTGGTTTGGTTTCCACACTTCCTACATCCTTGAGCTTTGCTAATGTCGATACAACAAAAGATTGCCTTACTGTGCATAATATAATTACAATTTTTTTTTTTTTAATCACAATAGCGAGTATAAAAATAACTTGTTTCTAATACTGTGCTAAGAATAAAACCTATGGGGTATAATTAATATAAGTACTATCTTCACACTATATTCTTATATCGCATGCTAACCAATTTATACAATTGGACAGTTTATTTATGGTTGATTACTATTCTACTTATTTATCAAAGCGATGGTTTCGGTTAAAAACAACTATCTGCTAAGTACTTTTTCCAAATTTATACAAGTATTAAATATATAGCCATAGAAAAATAGTGTTTAGTACAGCTGTATTAGCCGATTACTGGAGAAAATATAATTTAATGAGACAAACCAATTTTGTAGCATTAGTTTTAAATTATTTTACTTCAAAACATATTATTATATATTTTTAAATTATACGAAAACGTAAAAACTACCTAGGTAGGTCTTTTTTAAATAAATTGTTTTCCATTATTGTTATAGCTTATCATTTACAATAAGCGTAATAATAGACTATTTAATTATTATATTTGAATTAAAATGTTGGACGGAAGTAGCGAATCAACGATGTATTATTTCACAACAATACAGTAATTGAGCAAAAAAACTGAAATAATTCAATTGTATTTTTTATGTATTAATAAGTAAAGAGAGGTTATACCTAAGCTAAAAATTTAATAATGTGAATAGAATACAATAAAAATATACTTTTTTTAACATTCATAATCATGCATTTAAAATAATTTGAAGGTGGCTAATTAATTATAAATGCATGTTTTTGTATTCATCGCTATTAAGTTGAATATAAAAGGTGCTTATAATTCCTCGTAATCATCTGGTTGCATGACTTAACTCGATTAGCATTTAAAAACACTATCTATACTATTTATTGTCTTTTTTTAAAAATATAATGTTTTATTATAAACTATACTTCATCGGATCTGAATCTTCATCGAATACTTCAATGCGGTAAGCAATAAGCAGCAGTGGAAAATAACATGTACAAGTCAAGGTGGATAAAAATTACAATTGAAACGCATTTACAATTGTTTAACTGTACAATTTTTAGATTCGAAGCTAACTGCTAAAAACAAATTTTTTTTATTTACTACTAGATAAGGTAGAACCGCGTTTGTATAAACTAAAAAATTTAACGTGTAAAATTATATAATATTATGTTATATCAATACCTACTAAAACGGGTAGTATTATTTATTACAGTAGTATTTTAATTATTTTGTGTCTATCACTTCTTTTCATCTGAATATGAAGAGTTCGATGACATTAGACGGCATTGAAATTTAAGTATACACAATAAAAAAAAAACCATGTAATATGCAAATGATCGAGTAACACGACGTGATGACTGATGATTGCTATTAGGGAATTCGTTATCCAGACATTTATTGCGTAAAACGTTAGTAATTTTACTGTATTATATGAAATGTTTACAATCTCTATAATGAAACGCATTAATTAGGTACCCACTGAACAGCTTTGGTCGCTATCAAGAGCTACGAGAATAACCAAGAAGACGGTCGATTACACCACCACCGTAGTTTACAAGTATAATATCTCGCTAGTCCAGTTTGTTTCATGTGTATATTATTATATATATTACTGTAATCGCGTCACTGTTTTTTTGTAATAAAAATCAATTCTTTCTCATCAAAACGATATAAATACATTCTTTACATTTTTAAACAATGTTTTTCAGTTCACCAATAAAGTATGTCATATAAGAGATAATATATATATATATATATATATTTTTTTTTTTAATGTTCGATTAACACAATGAATACACACCGTCCGTAAATAAGAAAATCGTTGATGAAGCCAAATAAGTACTCAAATTTTAACAAAAATACTTATTTTTCAAACAACGTATTTGTCTACAATCTGTATTCTACTATTAGTCTACTTTAAACTTTTGTTAAAAATTATAAAATGTTGATTAAATATTTCTTACAAAAAATATGTTCAAAATTTATCTTCTCTTCATAAAACGAGATTTCTCTCCTGTTAGGAAGTAATACAACCCCCGTTTCCGAAGATTAATTAAGTTTTATTAATTATAAAAATTAAACAAATTTGCCGCCACTTGGTCCTAACCTTATATTTTATGGGTTTCTTATAAAATATTAATGCTAGTTTTAATATGTTAAGTGTAATATATTGATGGTATTAGGTAGGTACAGCGCATAGGTTTGATAAATGCATTTTTTTTTTGTCGTATTTGTTACATGATAATATGTTAGGCCAATACAAATTATACAACGACCGCCAAAGGAGTATAAAAAATAATAGCCTTCTATGGTTTGATTTAAAGTCCTATACCTATTGTATAGAACTGATATTTCATAATGATATGAGTATGACCTCAGTTCTTAATAGTCGGCAGCATTCGATCATCGTTCAAATAGAATTGGAAATAACCTTAATAAAATAGAATATCTTCTTAGTCAGTAAAAAATAATTTTAATAATTTATGACCAGGACTACCTCAGCCACCGACAGACACATTGTAAAATAATCAGACATTAGTCAAAATTACAGGTAAAATGAATAAGTGGAGTAAGACTAAAATTAATTTAATCATTGTGTCATTGTGGTAAAAATGAATTGCCTATCATTTTATAAGAAATGATTACGTTTAATAGGTACAGGGTGATTATTTTATGTGATCCATTTAAAGAATTTCATAGGATTTAAATATTAATTGAATTTTTTCCGCAGTTTTGTATACAATGTGATCTCAATTTGTTCACTAACTTTGATGTTTTTAACCCTTTTCAAATTATACATTTATATACACTTTTGAAACTTAAATGGTAACGTATATATATATATTATTTTACTTTTTGTTGCCTGGTTGATAACCAATTTAAATAAATATTTTTAAAGTTTAATGTTTAGAACGGGAAGAAGGATGGAGTGAAGTATTATTTGAATCTGCGGGCATTACTTAATCACAGCCCCCCCCTCTCAACCGTCAATCCCTAATAACTTTAAAAATAGTTATTCCAAACTGGTTTTTGACCAGTCAAGATTTTTAGTAAATTATTTCTTATTAAAAAAGGTAAAAAAATATAAATAAATACGATGCCATTTAAGTTTCAAAAGTATAAAATAATAAAATAATGAATTTAGTAAGGGGGTTAAAAACATAAGTTTGTGAAAACCTGAAATCAACGGAAATATATAAATGTATTCTTTCTGAAATAAATAAAATTATTATCGTATTTCTGTTACTGAAAGATCTGATATTTTCGATAAAAAAAATGTATAATTAATATTTTCATAAGAAATTATGTGCTTTTATAGTTCTGTGGGTAAAGAATCATCAAGAGGAACATTTAGTTCATTTGTTTCGGAGAGAATAACTAGGTCAAAAACATTTTTTTTTAATGGTTTTTTTTTCAATAATGTAAAATTATTGTCCGATTCCGAAAAACATACTATTATATTTTGAATTTTGCCCGGACCTTGTATTTTATTTCATTGTTGTTATCATGTTGTCGTTGGACGTTGTCACCAGCTGACAGCGTTGATAACATTATAGGGTTTTTCGGCCGTGTACCAAACTAACATTAGCGGTAGCCGGTTGAGATTACAGCAGCTGTGTATTATAGAGGTGATGTAAATAATAGATATTAGAACTCAGATTGTCCTATTAAACGTTTAGGTGTGTCGTGAGGTTTATTTTTATAATTTCAATCCAACTCTTGCCTGGGCACCGCGCTATAAATAACTACTTGTACAGCCGCTGTCGCACATCTTCGACAGCCGAATGCGTACCAAGTAATCAATAATTGTCTCAAAAACAACAATTTATAAGGTATTACTATAACTAATATTGGAAAATGGACGCCGAATCATTCCTCGAGTTTGCCAGCCAAGTAACAAAATGGAAAATGTATCCGTACTTCGACATTGCACATAGTGCGCTGTGTGCTCTTCACGTTCGTGATGATCTCGGTCCAGGTAAACGTAAAACGGTTAGACCCGTGTAACTGCTATAAAATGTAAATTATGAAATTAACGTACTGCATTGTTACAGGAGCACAAGCGTTTTCACGTAAACATCCCATTTCGTGTTGGCTATCTACAATGTTGGTAGTTTTTTCAGGCGGCATGATAAGCGCTGCACTACTTGGCGAACCACTCTTAGCGCCTCTCAAAAATACCCAGCAATTGGTTATCGCTTCTGCTCTTTGGTAATTTCTATTAATTTGTTATCGACTTGAGTGTACTTTTGATTTAATTTCATATGTTTAGGTACTTGGTGTTTTATACGCCGTTCGATATCGGATATAGCATTGCGAAATTCCTTCCTGTCAAATTGTTATTTTCCGTAATGAAAGAAATATATCGGTTTGTATATTTTGTACAATTTTGTTAACATTGAATTATTGAAATATTATTTTATTGATTGAAAAAAAATTGATGTGTTAATAGTTGTAAAAAAGTACATGATGGCGTATTACACGCTGCCAAACTATATCCTAACGCTTATATCATAATGATACTAATCGGAACTCTCAAAGGAAACGGAGCATCATTTACAAAAATCATCGAACGATTATTACGTGGAGTATGGACACCGACGTCAATAGAAACGTTACAACCCAGTTTGTAGGCAAAAATATTATAATACTATTTGATAATGGTGAATAGAAAAAATTAATTTTATTTTCACATTTTAGTACGACAAAAGCATGTATTATCGCATCTGTGGTGTTTGTACTCGATATCAAAAGCGACTTGATATCTGCCCCTCATGCGTTTGTTTACGTTTTTGTAATTGGTTTCTTCATATATTTCAAGGTATCTATATTAAATTTTATAATAAACAATGTACGGACATTTTTTTTGTATTATTATAAAAATATAAAAAAAAAACATTAGTTATTGAAAAACAATTATTTAAGTTTATATGAATTATGGCCGCTCTCATTAGTTTAGTTGTATAAATTTATATATATAGTATAATATATAATATATATATATAATATAAACTTACAGTATACTGAAACAAGACTTAAAATGATGGGCTAAAGTTATTTAAGTAATGAAAAAATATCATAAATTATTATTCAATTGAAGGGCACAGGGGAAAAACGGTAGTAGTCACATTATGAAAATTTTAGATTATAGCAAAAACAAAGTTCGTGAATTCCTCTCCCTCTTACATAAGAACAAAAAAAATGACATTTAACGCTACTCTAATAATAAATGTATTTTTTTAAACAATCTGTTGAAATAAATAAAAAAAAATTAATGGCATAAATTGAAAAAAAAAATGTTCATAATGTGACTACTACCGTTTTCCCCTGTGCCCTTCAATCGAATTATTCATTATTGAAGGCTAATCTGTTGAGAACCACATAAGTAATTAAGTAAAATGCATCTTAAATATTATTATTAAATAAATTATAATATCATTTAATTTCTAGTTTCATAAATAAATAATAAATAATCTTTGTGTTTTAAGGTACTATCGTCAATGATTTTGGGTATTCACGAACCAATGTTACCGTTTGAAAATTTGATATGTGCGATTTTCTTTGGAGGCATATTTGATTACACTGCTAAAGCATTTAAAAACAACAAGGACGACAAGATAGACCCAAAGAAGAAAGAATAAAAATAATTCAATTAGCTGAGATGATGTGTGCCATGTAAAATATTTTATAAACTCTAGTCTTTGCATTTTATGTAACCAATGTTTCCTTTTAATTTATATATGTACAGCAACATGAATTTTGATCTTCTAATTTCGATTTATTTTTAAATTTAATTAAAACCAGTATTTTTTTGTTACTAAGTTAAATAATTTACGAACTGTTTTTACAGACTAATTATACAAAGTCGACATTGAATTTAAACCTGAAACAATAAACGGACTTCATATTATGTTTGAGAATTTCATTCCCTCCATTATTAAGTCTTTGAAATCAAATGATTTTGCATTATAGTGTCGAGATCAACTTTGACACGACTACAGTTTTAACATAAGTGTTAATTTTAACTAAAGTCGATTTCTCTGAGCTAGAAATAAATTTAAATTCAGTCTGGCCACAAATAAATAAAAGGTTATAATATAAACCAAAATAGTAATTTGGAAGTGTAATTTAACTATTTTTCAACGTTAAACTTAAAATAAATAAATATTTAAATGTAGCAAAATTTAAAAATAGGATAACTGTTTATTTATGACTTTATTAGTTTTATCATTAAACTTAAATGATAATGTAATTAAGTCAAATATAGTTGAATGTTCTGTATTGGGAATATATATTTTTAAAATGAACCTATTCCTTTTTTGGTATAATAGTTTTAACAAAACTGGACAATTATTATTTAAATAATAATGAACTATTTGAAATAAATTATTATTTAGTGCAATGAATAATTTTTCAATTGCTTTACAATTTTTTGAAATAGATAGGTAAACAGATGTTTGACATTTTTATTTAAATAACAGATAATGATGTAATATCATCATTATCATCAAGCTTAACTGGCCTTTAAGGCCCAACACTGCCATCATGAGATGATAGTTTCTAGACAGATTCGCTGTCTGGGACGGATCGTCAGTCTATTGCCAATGATGAAGTATAATAAAATTAATTTTTAAATGCACTTTTTTTGTTGCATTCAAAAATTTTAATATGGAAATAAATTTGTAATCACTGTTTTAAATAATAAATAATTTAAATTGTAAGAAATATTTGATTAAAATGTATTAATACTTGACTTCTTCAAATAACTTATTATTTTAAATTGCTTAAAAAAAATTATTCGATTAATCATTTTATTCAATAAAAATGTATTTAAATAATGCCCAGGTTTGATCCTTAGTATATCACAGAATATTAGCCTATCATTTAATGGAACCTCTACACCACTATTTAGTAAGGCACACTGTATAGGCAATTTTTCACTAAAACTTAACATTAAAACTTTTAAACATATATTAACATAGAGGAAAGCGGGATTTATTATGTTATTTCATTTTGTTTTGAAGTTTTAAACTTCTATAATGTATACAGGCTCTACTTTTGTGCAAAAACATAATATGTTTCTACATCAAACAGTACGTTCTTATAAATAATTATTTTTAATTTTTGAAAAAACATTGGGATTCTTCACAAAACTTACAAGTTATCGATCGTGACACAATTTTAAAATTATTTTTAGTTAAATAATAATTTACATGTGAAAAATGGCATTTTTAAAAATATTTTTAATGATTTAAACAATAACATTAAGAACGAAAATTAAAAATGTACTTCAATCGATAAATCAAGCGAGTATTAAAAAATCTATAACCGACTTTAAAACTATTGTCGGATCATGCGTTTCAGAGTACGGTAAAAATAAGAATGAGTTGCTTTCGATAAAAAAATATGCAGGTTAAATATGCCTCTTAAAACAATTTTATGCCATAATCGCCAAATAAATTTTTAAAGCGGTATAGTAAATAGTAATTACTAAAGTCAGGAAACAACCTACTACAGGCTATGTTTGGAGCGTAGCACTGTATGGAAGTGAGACATGGACCATAGGTAAAACAGAAGAAAAAAGACTACTAGCGTTTGAGACATAGTGTTACAGGAGGATGCTTAGACTAAGCTGGACAGAACACATAACAAATGAAGAAGTTCATCGAACAGCCGGAGAAACAAACAGCTCTCTGAATACCCTCTGAAAAACAAGAAGAACCAAGTTAATTGGATACATACTGTGCTATAACAGTCTACTTAGCAGAATAATAGAAGGTGCCATCGAGGAGAATAATAGCAGAGGACGACCGCCACTGGACTGCAATAGTCAAATAGTAAGAGATATGGACTGCAGATCGCATTATGAACTAAAAAGGAAAGCGGAGAAGCGACAGGAGTGGAAAATTGCTGTCAACCAACCTTTGGACTGTTAACAAAAGAAGAAGTAATTACTACTGTAAGATATACATGTAATATTATTTTATTTTGTTTTTACACTGAAGTACCTACTGTAGACTTATTATTGGGGTAAAAAATGCATGTACTAATGTGACGATTGAAATAATATGTTAAGTCAAATTTAATTCGACATAACATATAAATTATTCATACTGTATAGTGAAAAATGAGAAGAACACAACAAGTCAATTATTTGGAGAATTGTATTAAACAATTGTATTGATTAAAATAATATGTTAATGAATTTTACAATTTCGATTAGCTGTGATAAAACGTATTTAATTGTAAAACAATCTAAAAACACGCGAATCAAATTAAATAGCATGCGAAGGATAAGGAGTAAAAACCAGAACGTCATATTTTCTAAAATTAATATTTCGGTATCATAAAGTTTGTTTTATTTTACCTGCTGCATTTTTAAACGTGTTTTCCATAGATTTAAGAAAAGTGATTTTTTCAGTTTACTCCTGTATCCTTCATACGCAGTAGAGTATAATTTTACATAGTTACAATATTAATTTTTAGTACTTAATCAATATACAAATTTTTATCTTTATATAATTCTAATTTCTCTTCAACGTCGTTCCAACTACAAAATTGACAATCGTTGCCGCTTTCCACCTTTATAGTAGTAAGTTGTTCGTTAAAATAAAACGCTACAAAAAATTTACCAGCTTCGTCCTTGTAAAGGACAGCCATGAAGTTTGCGGCCCACGGACCGATCTTGGAAGTCCTCCACGAGAGATCTTTCATACCCCTGTAGTTTTCCGCGTTTAACGTTTGGTCACCTCTACCTAAATTTAACGCCACGTACATGCTTAGTACGTTTTCAGTGTTAGCGAAATAAAATACGCCTTTCGGACGATTTTCTCCGACTTTTTCTCCGACTTTTTCTCTGGAATCATAACATAAAATAGGCACATAAATAGTTACCGTGAGACCTTGTTGTTTCTGCTTTTGTTTTTCAACATTTTTCATTCTTAATTCATTCAATTACGACGGGGTGCTACAGCGATTCTGAACTTTTCAACTGACCTAGTGCAGATTGCAGGACTAGTCGAATCCAACGTACACCTAAAAAACCCTCAACTTTTTTACACCTAAAATCCCAGTGTTCCCAACTGGCTGACGGCTGAAATTGAAAATTTGAGGGAGTAAACATTTGTTCAAAAGCGATTTTATGTCGGATTCGACCAGATCTACAACCTGCACTAGGTCACTTGAAAAATTGGTTAACTTTTTATGCAGCACCGCGTTGTTAAACGTTTTTAACGAGTTAAAAAAATAGCGGAAAATTATTAAACATAAAATATAATGACGACTCTTTGAATATAGCAACAAATCTGTCTAGCCTTAAACAATACCCCAAAAGAAAAAACAGATTTTTAATTATTCACGAATTTAGTATAAATGTGTATGTCGTTACATAATTTCGATGTTATCATATAAGTTAAGCTCGTATTCATTAAAGTGAAGATTTGATTTGTTCGACATTTTTTAAAGAGAATTTTTGGGTTGGGGTAAGACATAATTTATTTATTGCATTATACGCGAAATAGTGCTTGTATTAGTAGTTAGAATAAATACTGGAAAATTGAAACTTGTGTTAATTTTACTTAGAATGACCCAAGTCTAACTTGTAAGCAAATGATTTAGTTAGATAAATACCTGTGTTTGGTATTAGCAGAATGTGTTTTATTTACATAATTTATTTTGACCGTCTATGCCTTTTAACTGTATATATTCGAATTAAATACAAAGTATAATAAAAATACCTAATAAATGTGTGGATAGCGTCCTCTAAGTATTTAAAAAATACATACAATTTGTGTTTTTAATTACTGGGGTCAGTGTTTTATTTCAAGTATGTGATTATATACTATTTTGTGTTTCTTGACAAAATTAATAAATTAAATTTTTATGAAAAATTGCCTACATCGAACGCCTTAAATAAACGAGTCCTATTGAAATTGCGAAAACAAGTTATCTCAAAAAAATTGTCTGCTCGTTTTAAGTATTACCACTCTATGCAACAGCTCCCATGTTGGGTGCCCGAAATTCTACAGCCGCACCGACTTATGTACCTTAAGTATGGCTAATTTAAGGCTTTTTCAAAAATATAACTAACTAATAACTAATAAATTATTGTGTTTTGAAAAATTATATTACTGTAAGGATACTAATAGACGTTTGTACATTGGGGCGGCAAGTTGTGGGTGGAAATCATTGCCATAACCCACAGTATTAAACATATACAGTTCTTCAACGTACTCCAAAACCTGCAAACATTTTTACGTTATTCATCTTTATACTTTGTAGCAACCGACTAAAATTCTTGAACTCTTACTTCAAGATCACTATCGCTAAATACTTTACACCAAACTGGCGTGCCGTTATCTGATGGAGAACCTTCGTGTGTACACATGTCATACATGAAAAATACCAGATCTGTAATGTATTAATATATACTAGATCGTAAAGACACCGCTATGCAAACAAAATCTATAATATTAAACGTTTAAGCATATTACCAGGATCAAGATCTTCTGGATCTAGCCCCAACCTCTCTCTAACCATTTGCACGACATTTGCCATAATTTCGCTTGATTTGAATCTATCCATTTCAGACATAACTTTTATTTTTTGCTGTTGCATTTGCAAATCAATATAAGTTTTCATGTCACTCGAATCATAACTCATTATGTTTTTTTGCTAAAAAATGGAAATTTGTCAATTGTAAGAAAACGCTATGATATATCTTTTTACGTACCATCAGAATTTTGTCTTCACTATGACACACGGGTATACTGGTAATGTCATTATTATTAAAAATAGTTTGAAGAAAAATTAGCCCAGTTTGTTCACAACGTTCATCTGGCAAAGAATTTACCTAAAATAATAAAAATAAATGTGTAATCCTCTCCTTTTACACATTTTAATTAAGTTAGGTACATCATACAGTATAGTCACTATCATTGAATGGGGTACTAAAAATAGTGGAAAACGAGTTTTTTATTCTCTGTGCCAATTCTTTTATTTCCTTTTGGCCTTTTTGATGTAATCCTGGGCCAAAGTTGTGGTCTTTGTTTGGTATCCAATTTAAAATCGATTGAATATCTTCACTACTCAATCTAGCATTTTTAATAATCTTAGCACCACGTTTGGTTGTAAAATCCGTAAGTTTCATTAGCATATAATTGCGAGAGTGTTTTTCGGGATGTGACGTTCCGTGTCTGTTAATAGTAAAAATTTGTTGTGGCGTGTAACCTATCATTATAAAACAAGTGTTAGTTTTAAACATCTATAATTAAGATGTTTGTTAATATCGATACTAGTACCCGTTAATATAAATCAATTTTATTAGTTATGATTATTAGACTGATTATTTCCCTCTATCCTTTTATCCTTTATATTATTTCTATGAAACCCACAGTACCCAAGTTTTAAACCCACTAAAATAATAACAGAGTTATATAAAATCATTATTAATTAGTTAATACAAAATTGAGGATTTTATCAATTAACTGAACGGGAGCCCCCCCCCCCATGACGGGAATGTTTGATTATTTGCGTATAGAAGGTTTGTGCTGGTTAGAATTAATAAATATTTAATGACTATTTTTTGAGAGATTTTTATGGATATAGTATGCCAATAATAATTGTAATAAAGATGTTTTATCATCTAAGACCTGATCGCGATTTCTACAGAGAATTTCAACAGTTAAAAACCAATAATATATCTACTGTAACTGTTTTATAAAAATCATTATTAAATATTTATTAATTCTCCGTAAAAATCAGTCATTTATTCGATTAATCTCATTCAATTAGTAGTTTGTTAGATTGGCAAGTGGTAACATAATTACTTACCATCTGGTACAACAATTTTTTGCGAGGACACTAATTCGTAAGGGGTTCTCGAGCTAAACCACCTGTATGGACCTTTATTTTCAATGTCCATGTCATCGTCTTTAGCATTTATAACCAGCAACAATGACAATACACACATAATCTTCAACATTGTATCGAATACTGTATTCTATAAAACAGCATATCCGAACAAATATGATAACAGTATAAAATATACATAATTATACTGGCCAAATGTTGGACTTTTTTTAAATTTTGGCCTTTCAAAAGTACTTTTGGTGAACAATTATTATTATTATCTGACAACAATATATTATGAAGAAATCGGTTCAATAAACGCCAACTTAAATAGAAATATCCCGGTGTTCAGTAATAATTAGTAGGTGTTGTTTTAAAAAATAGAAAAACAATGTAGGGAAGCGATTATATAGAGAAATGAAACAACATTTTAGACGTTTTTCCATATTGTTTTTGTTCAATGTGATCTCAATTTTTCACATTTTGTTTTTGTTTTTACTCGCCTCACAACTTAGTTTTTTTGATAGCAACTTTTGATACTTATATGGTAACGCATTCATTTCTGATTTCATTAACTATTTAAATCGAAAATAATGTACTAAAAATGTTGACAGGTTGATAACCAGTTTTGAACAACTACTTTTTAAGGTTATAAGATCTTAAAAGTGAGAATTGTAGGTGAAGTGCGGGCAGATAAAATTATTACTAAACTCCACCTTTCCTCTTGCCCTAAACTTGAAACTCCAATTGTACCTCGAAGCCACCTGTTTACCATAATATTACAAAATGTCCAATACACGCATGTGAATTATACGATTTATACCTAGCATTTTAATGTTTATTTTGGATCTCGTTTTCAGAGTATAAAACAATTCGAGCCAGGTGTTCGAACAACCGCGAGTTAAGATACACAAACACACAAAAAAACATTTTTAAGATTCTTGGATTGTTTTTCTTAAATTAAACTTGGATTAAACGCTCATTTCTTAAAGCAATTTTTCTTGATTTTAAGCGTATGCCTGTTACTATTGAAAAAAAAAAATTTTTTATATAAAAAAATCTCAATTTCTTTAGATCTTTTAATAAAAACACTTGGCGGGATACTTCCTATCTTTTTAAAATCAATAATTCTTATGATAATTGTATTGCACGATAATTCATCGCCAAGTAAAAATTAAAAATATATGTTTAGTTTCAAAAGAAATCTCAAGGCCTTTATTATATAAGAACATTATTTTAGTAGTTTGAAGGACTTTGCCGTGGATCCAAACAAACAAATTATAAATAAAATCATGGTGTATAGGTTGTATCTGTACTGTATACTTAATTTATAACCTAAATACAATGAGAAGCTTCGAAACAATGTTCATTATATGTAAAATAGCTATTATTTTAGGTTTGTTGGGTAGTTAAAAAATACCTGAAACTGCTGAAATTTACTTAACAATGTACGTCAATGTACTTTACAATGACGTGTTACACCACTTTTAAAATTATAAAACTGTTACCTTTTCACTTATTTATAACTCTCTTAACTGTGAATTGTTTTACTATTTTATTTAACAATATTGTACTTACTGTAAAATATAGTATAGTTGATTGAAATATTGGTTCAAAAATGGATTCGAAAAACTTTGGTATTGTAAAATGTTAACAATAAAGCTACGTTATTACTATTCGTTTTTTTAAAACGTATGTTGCTGTTTTTCTAGAAGGCACTTTTTTAGTGATATTTAACTTAAGATAGTTTATTTATACATACAGTATGACGTGTTTATTTGATACATATATTTTTTTTAGAGAAATAACGCAGATATTGCACGATTATTATTTTATTACACGAGTTGTTTGTTTTATACTTGTGCACATGCTACCTTTACACAGTACATTATAATTTTCAATCTAAGCACTGAATCAACTTAACACACTTTAAAATAATTGTTTTCACACCGTACAGAATAAAATAATTGTGTTCTGCCATTGCCATTTGCCACAAAATATTCTTGTTCGACACACGAATAGTTCATTAATTGTACACAAATGACACTTTGTAAGAGCAAAAGTTGAAATATGTCACCCCATTTATATTATATTACAAATATTAACCCTTAATATTTGAAAATAACTAATTTATATAAGGGGATTGCATGCGATCTGTTTAAAGGAGTTTAGTATAAGCCATATTTAAAAAAAAGTGGGTTTTAACACATTTTGACCATGTTAATTCATTTTACAATTAATTTGTGTAAGCTTCAAGGTATTATTTTAAATTGATATTAATTATAAACACTTAATTAAAATGAAACGAAAATGGAATAAATTAACGCTTATTAAATAACAAGATAACTATTAACACTGAATTATTTACATTAGTAGCGGTAGCGTCGACTTCTATACTATCGCCGGTGTTTCTAGAATTGTTTTAACTATGACCCTGCCATGTATGTAGAATATTCTTGAACCTTCGCGCTTGTGTGTGTGTGTGTTTTATATGTATTGCCTGCCCATATTACATACCTTTATCATCAGAAAATATTTAAAAAATAATATTATTCTAGTTTTTTTACAACGTTATATCCTCATTATCAATGACCGAAATATTAAACCGATTAAAAGTATACTTCCTAAATATAGGGTTTCTGACTTTGTTGTACGGGTGTATTTTTGGCTGTATCCATATTGTTTTTAAGGGAGATAAAAATACTTATTAATACTAGTTTTAACTTAAATGTGTGGACTACTAATTAGTATAGACGGACTAACAACCCCAATTGTTTCCACCCAATAATTATCCAAAACTGGTTATCAACCAGTCAACATTTTTAGTGAAATATTCTTAATTTAAAAAATATGTACGTTACCATTTAAGTTTCAAAGTTGCTATCAAAGAACTAGTTTGAGAGGGGCGTAGAAACATAATAATTTGTGGAAAATTGATATCACATTATATAAAAACACTATGAAAAAAAATATTTAATTATTAATTAAACCCAAGTGAGATTTTAAGTGGCCCAGGATAAAAAAATCACCCTGTATTAAGACAATAACTAGGCTATATTGTATGACAATAACTACTATTTTTAGATCTGTGCACATGCTATCAACGAATATTTGCCAGGAAATTTTAATAAAACAGCGTATGCAAGTTACAGACAATGACTACGAATGTTAAAATGATCAAATACGACCGCTTTTTAAACCAAGAGAAAGTCGAATACAATTGATATGGGGGTTACAATAATTTTTTTTGAAAACCAATGTTTGAAAAATTTTTTTTTGTTTTCAATTAATTTAAAATTTAAACAAAATTAAATTGATAATTCTTTAATTAATAAACTCGAAATTGGCACAATTTAAAAATCTATTTCCGAAACCTTTTAAATTGCGGAATAGAAGAAATTTTGAGATTTTATTTTTAAATATGAGTAAAGCGAGATTGGAGCCTAATGGGGATAGAGCATATTGGAATAGGGATCGTAATGCTAAAACGTTTCCATAGTTATATGCTTTTCCGTGGAATTATATTTTGATTACCTATCAATGTGTTGTTTTCGATTAGATTTAAATGTTTATTATTATTTATTTAAATCATGTACATCGTGTGTGGCCAGTAGAATAACTAGAGACTAAAGCGCCCAGGAGCAAGAAATTTTTTTTAGCCTTATATTACTTGCTAAGTGGCCTCTACACCTGCGTATTTTTGGTCGAAAACAACTCATTCTACTTCAAACGTACCTACTGTTCCTAAGAATAAGAATACTCCGATTTAAGTTTTGAAAAAACGTTTGAATTCTTCGTACCATTTTAAAGACATCGAGTGTCAATGGCACCATTTTAAAATTATTTATTGTTAATTAATTATTTCATTAGTATAAAGGTTTATATTAAAAAAATAGTTAGTCTGTGTGGTCCAATGTAGTTAACTTTGTAGTTTGCTGTTTGTACCTATATTTTATACCGGAATACACAAATATGTAATCAACATTTTAGTTATTAAGTAAGTACAATAATTTCGGGTAGGTTTCCGTAAAGGTTTGATTTTATTTTGCTTAATCAGGCAGTAAAATATGTAATAAGTAATCTTTCTGCAGTAAAAAATAAAAACCATTATAGGCCGCTCTCATCACACGACCGTTAAATGTGTTTACTTCAAGCTATATCTTATTGGTCTTGAGTTATCATAGACAATTATTAACTATTTTATAATATTTATTATAGTACAAACATGTTCATTATTTTGTGAAAACTTAATTGATTACTTAACATTTTTAATTAACTAGAGTTATAGCCCGTTCCTGACTTTGTTGTACAGGTGTATTTTTGGCTGTATCCATACGTTTTTTAAGGGAAATCAAAATATTTATTGGAATACTAGTTGCATTTACTAGTTTTAACTTGTTACTTTTCCTAATATTAGTAATGTCTCACCAAAAGTATCTAGTAAGCAAGTGGTGACCATTCTTACACTATAATATTCATGAGCTATTGAACTACGTTTGGTTATGAAATGCTCTAGGGTATGATTTTTAGCATGTCAATATTGTAATTCGCCCATTGAACTACGTATAAAAAAAATTAAAATGCAAAAGTCCAATAGTGTACAATATGACGTATAATATCTCATATATGCCAAAATAATAACATTAAATATATATAAACATTAACAACAATCATTTAAAGTTTATCTTTATATAAAACAAAACATTGTTAATAAAAAATATAAATGTTGAATTTGTATTTCTATTTATTTTTCTTGTTTACGTCATTTACAAAGTTATTGACGGCATCTTTTATTTTTTTAAGAATACTCTCTTTTTCATCGTCTGTGAAATCATTATTTCTCCATAAATTATCCACTAATTCTTTGTTTACGACCGCATTTGCATTCTGCTTTAATTCGAGAACCATAGCTTGTGTTGCAGTGGTTAATTTTTTTTTTGCTTCGGCCTCGTTGCCGTCTTTTATTAATTTTTCTGCTTCTTCAACGACATCAAAATAGAATGGATGTAATTCGTCTGTGTCATCTGTGCACAAATATGAAAAAACAGTTATAATACCATATAATTTATAAGTAAACTGTGCCATGAAATAAAATTTGCTAGGATCAGGGCCATATTTTAGATTTTAGGATATTCTTTTTTAAATATATACCAATATATAACATGAATGAAATGTGCTTCAAATATTCGCTCTTATTTACTCATTTCGCTAAGTTCAGTCTTGTAATTATATTAAACATAAATAAATCAGGAAAAACCCTCCGATTTTCATTAATCCACGTAGATTTTTAATACAGTAATTTCAAACAGGCTTGGCCTGTTCATCAACCAATTTATAGTTAACCACAAGTTGTGGGTTTTAGATAATAAAATTAAAAAAAATAAAAATCATTAATATTATTCTGTAGATGGTTGAATGCATAATGCAATACCAGCAAAATATTTTGAAAGAATAATTGAGTTTTTCTTGATTACATAATAGTTTGATTGGATGTTTTTAAATACATCATTCTACATTTAAATTACTATGTATATGTTCTAAATCTACTTTCTGCCATATTTTTAGACCATGTTTACGGCAACTATTTTTAAAATGTATATTTTTTAACGAGTAAGTTTTTCCAAATTCAACTAAGAATTAAAGAAATATAGGTTTCCTAAACCCTATAGAATGTAAATCGGATCAATTTAATTAACCTACTCTTCCTTTTGCGTATTATACAAAATTAAACCAAAATAATGATTTAGATACTTACAACTACCTGTATCGTCATCTATTGTAAAACATCTAATTAAATAAGTCTGAAGAAGCCTACATTTAAGACTATCTATAGGGTCATTATTATCGGCCAAGGCTTCGTTCACGGCCTCTTCATCCAAAGGCTCATCGCTCTCAAACTCCTCGTCCGCCACCTCCTCTCCTTTCGGGGAAGACTTCCCGGAAGAGGACTATTCGAGGAGGACGAGGTCGGGGAGGACTGCTTCAACCGCTTCAGCTCTGGGGATAATTCCTCCGAGGAAGACCCAGCATCTAATAAAATCTGAAAGACATACATACCTATTATTAGTTCTATTGGTATTATTATAGAGTTCTCGACGATTGTTCTCAAATACCAATAGTTATTATAGTAGTATAACAGTTTTGCAGCTTCTGTGAAAGGTCAAAGAAATTTTAGAGGTTCTGGGAATTAGTGAATGCCTAGTATATTAAGATATCTAAATAGTTTGCATGATATCATACCATTAGTTTTAAGTTAAATTATTATTATAGACAAAAAGTAAAATATTAATATTATTTCAAAATTTTGAAGATAATATGTGTGTTGCTATGAAAACAATGAGTACCTACAAATAGTTTTATACATTTTTGAACAATATTTATATTTGTTATTTTTGAAATAGAATGTTGTACTTACGATGAGGCCAAAGGAATAAATTGCAAATAACACGACACAACGAAGACGCATGTTTGAGTTCATTACCAAAAAAATACCTATAACAAAAAAAAACAATAGGATCATTCCATGCCAAATCACCAAAAGTGCGTGCGAGTGGATTTTCAAAATGCCTCAACTTACATATCCTATGCAAATAGTTCCATAAAACCAAAAAAGAGAAGAAACAATTTTTTATTTTATTGGACTTAGGCGATCCTATATTCTTGAATTTTTTTTGTAAAAACACCTTAAGTTCACGGTCACGTTACTTAATG